GAGTCCCACCCGAACGAGTTTTACGGCTGGCTCCTGGGATTTTATATAACGGAAGTACAGTCCGTCATTCCTGGGATGACCAGAGTGATCGCCGTACAAAAATTCAAGAAAGAAACAAAGCGAGGAAGCGCTTGTTGGACATAGAAACCCTACCACTTCGTTGTGAAACTCACGCCGAAAAGCAGAGCTATCCCCGAAGGATAAGGAAGGAGGGTTAATTTATTTTCTGCGTCGTATTTAGTAACGATGCGCACAGGTATGGAAGGAAGGTTGAAAGTTTGGTGATTGAGCGGGCGAGAGTGGTCCTATGATTCAGTCCACGGACGCTGTTCAAATCAACACGCAACGTATGTGTCGTGTTTGTAGCGCTGTAACTACGTTGTCTGGATGTTTTGAACGCTGGGAGTTAGTGAGCCACTTAGGGTATTTCCTGCCTCTGGCGTATATGGGGAATCTGGTCAGTGCACTACCACAGCTGGCCCGGGTGCTTTAGCCACGATAGTGCGGGAACGATTCTCACGCTCGACCACTAATTCTATGTAGAAATAAGCTCTGCCTTAGATTCGCATAGTACGATTCACAGCAAATTGAGCGAACTTTTCATTACACTTAGATTTATACTCAAAGGTCACATTGAAGAAAAGAAACATCGTAATGGTTGGTCATTTCATGATATATAACACAGTCGTCAGCAAATAAAATTACAGAATATGAAACACAGGAGGGTAAGTCGGTAATATATATATACTACAGCTTTCAAGGTTTAAATCATACCGGAACCAATTAACAAAGCTACTAAGAAATGCTAAGGCTCTTTATTACACTAAAGTTTTCCAGAAACAGTCTGCTCATGTGGATTAAGTCTGGCGGACGTTAAACTCTCTAACGCTAGCGGTTCAACACAACAGCATGTTGAAAAGATCGTTCACGAAGGAGTGTCCTTGACTGGATGCTCCCTAGCCAATACTTTCAGCGACTACTTTATAAACTTGGTTAGTGACAGCAGCAATGCCAATGAATTTTGTAAATATATAGACTTTCGAAATAACCATTCAATTTTTTTGGAACCGGTCACAGATTCTGAGGTGTATTCTGTTTTTATGCAGTTAAAAAATAGCAGTTGTTGTGACTGCGATGATTTACAAATTCGACCGATAAAGTATGTTGTCGACATATTAACACCATGTCTGTGCTACATTTTTAATTTATCTCTAACAACTGCAGTCTTTCCTGCCGGAATGCAGAGAGCGAAAGTATCTGTTTTGCATAAGAAGGGAGATAAGAACATACTCAGTAACTATCGACCTATTTCTATTCTTCTCGTATTTTCGAAATCACTAGAAAAGACTATACAGGCTCGTTTAGTACAGTTTTCCGATAAACACAATTTGCTAACCTCCGCACAGTTTGGGTTTAGAAAAAATCTATCAACTGAGTTGGCACTGCTGGAGCAAAAAGAATTCATTCTGAAAAACTTCGATAAAAGAAAGCTGGTTCTGGGTGTATTTATTGACTTTACAAAAGCATTTGACTACATAAATCACAATATATTACTTCGTAAACTTGATTTATATGGTATTCGCGGTTTGCCTTTATCGCTTTTGAGGTCCTATTTACACCATCGTAAACATTATGTTTCCATTGGTAAATATTCATCTGATATCAAACCAGTTAAGTCTGGCGTCCCACAGGGGAGTATACTTGGACCATTTCTTTTTAACATCTATATAAATGATATTGTCAATATAAATCCATCGGCAAAATTTGTAATATATGCTGATGACAGCAGCATATTTTTTTCCGGCACAAGCAGAGATGAGCTTATGGATGTCGCCAATTTAACATTGTCTAAATTGTACGCTTGGTCACGAGATAATGGTCTGAACATTAATACCGAGAAAACAAAAGCCATACTTTTTCGGCCAAAAAACAAGAGTGTAATAATAATGCGAGACATCGTATTGAACTCCGTCCCCTTAGAAATCGTCAGCACTTTTAAAACTCTCGGAGTATTCTTTTCAGAACGAATGTCATGGGATAACCACATTGAACACTTAGCCACAAAACTGTCACGTGTTATAGGACTAATATACTGTCACAGTTCTTCCCTACCCGTTAACGTGAAACTATTAATATACAATGCCCTGTTTCAGTCCCATTTAAATTACTGTAGCCTCGTTTGCAGTAACACCACGTTCACAAACTTGCAGAAACTATATTTATTGCAAAAACGAATACCGTAGTGAGGGTTTGTTTCAAAAGTTCAGGATGTTAAAAATATTTAACCTCTATGACTATAGATTATGCATCAGCTTAAAACTCGAGAACAAAAAAAAATACGCGTTTCTTGTCAGACTTATCCGAGTTAGTGCCGAACGATCACGTCTATTTAACCCGACACATGGAATATTGGAAGGTTACCGGCTGTAAGACAAACTATGGTACACAAACTCTACGTTACACTATACCTAAATTGCTCAACTACCTCGCCAGCAACGAAATTTGTTTAGACTCCATATCAACTAAAGATTTGCGTTCATTCTATTTGCGCTTGTGATTCTTCATTGATGCCTACTATGTTACCTATTATCTACTTGTTTGTTTGAACTGTATAATATTATTTTTAGGGCTACAACAGTGTCTACTCTGTAGTTATTATAATAATTCTGATGAAGTTTTTTTGTCTTTCTTATGTATATGCGTGTGTGCGCTTCTTTCTTTTTTTTTCTTCTTGTGCTGCTGCGCCTGTCACCGTATGGGGCTTCGGGCTCGTCAAGCCTCCATTGGAGGCTTTTTCCCTTCTGCCCCTCCAATTCATTTGGAAAATAAAGTTATTATTCTTAAAAAGAAGAGGACTTCATACAGAGCCCTGCGGGACCCCGGACGTCACAGAAGCTGAAGGTGGGAACGTATCACTCGTGAGTACAAACTGAGACCGGTTAGTTAGAAAGGCGTAAAATTAAGATAGTGAGCTGGAATAAATATTAAGTTTGCTTTGTTTATGAATCAGTAGTCGATGTGTTACCTAATGAAATGCTTTAGCGAAATCAAGGAATATGTAATCACCTTGGGAAGTTTGATCAAGAATGAGGTGAAGGCCATTAATCAAAGTTAGCAGCTTGGTTTCACACAAAAATAACTTACGAAACCCGTGGTGGGCGGGATTAAAGAAGTTATTAGACTCCAAGAAGTTTGCTAAATGTGAACAAATGACGTGCTCACGAATTTTGCAAGGAATGCTTGTTAAGGACATGGGACGACAATTGAAAGGAGAATGTTTATCACCCATTTTGTGGAACGGCTCCATCTTTTCCTTCTTCCAGTCGTCACGTAAACAACCACAATCAAGAGACCCATTGAATAGTTTCGAAAGTATTATAAAAGAATATTATTTGGCACCATTTACATATTTTTAGTTAGAATCGACTCCCGCAAAACAAGATACCTTTGAATTATCGATCATATTAACAATTGTACAAGCGTCAATGGCAACCGGGTACAAAGGAACGAATGCATTATGTTGAAATGGAGGTAAAGAAGATAAAGTAACGTCTGAAAATGAAGCTACAAAAGCGGAGTTCAAAACAAGGAAACACTCACTAAAAGGTACAGCATTTTTGGAAGAAATAATCAATGATATTGACGGTCTTTCGTATCGGTTAATTATATTCTAAAACTGCACTGGGTTGCTCGTTAGAAGGAATGGTAAAGTTACATTAAAATAAGTAGCTTACGCATTTTCAAATGCTCTTTTGTCATTATTGAGAGCAATATGGTATGACTATTTGGAGTCAACATTTGAAACTTTATCCGCTCAATATTTTTGCTTTTTCTTGTTAGAAAGTCTTTTAGTGATGTGCTAAACCATGGTGAATGAGGGGGAAAAAATATTTCGTAATGGAACATACGTGTTAGTAAGATGCATAACCTGCCATAACCTGCATTTTAAATATTTCCCCATTTTTATGGATTGATCGTTCAGAAAAGAGCACAAGTAATCATCAAGAAAAATAGAAAGTTCATTGTTGATAGTCTTGAAGTTACTTTTAGCATTGTCGCGTATCTTTTTAAGGTTCTTTGGAGCATTTCTAACTGGAACATTGATGACAAATATTATAAGGAATGATCACTCGTGCCCGGCATGTTGCAGATTGAAGATATTAGAAAAGGTGATGTTGTGTATGTTCGCTGAGGTAGGAGTTATCCTAATAAAAAGGGTACCAATTGACTAAAGCTGAAATCATTACAAGCTTATAAAGTCAGTTACGTCTGATGAAGACGGGTGACTATAAGAATTCAAGTCAGTTCAGACTATATTGCAATAGTTAAAGTTACCCAGAAGAATGATTAGAAAAGAAGGAAAACGTACAAATAATAGGTTTGTTGCATCATGAAGACTAGTAAGGAAGGAAGGATTATTAGATGAAGGACGATAGCATACCCCAAAAATAATTTTTTCATGATTCAAGTGCAATCAAATCCATGTTATTTACAATTCGCTATCCAAGCGTACACAACACGATTCAATGTGGCTTCCAATTGCGACTAGTACGCTGCCAGTAGTCCTTTCCCCTCTATCGCACCATAAACTTTAAAGCTTTTTTCACAACAATATATTTTGGAATTTTTAACACTATAGAAGAGCCACATTACAATTAAAATCACAATATCAGCACTCGACGAGTCCACAGCAGAACACAAGTCATCCCTAGGACACAAAATACTCCTTATATTACTAAAAAGTAGTGAAGAATGTTTGCTTTTATCAGAACGGTTAGTTGAAACAGTTCCTAGGCCTGTGCTATCTCTCGCGCGCATATCAGGTGCGAGACCAAGCTCAAAAACCGCATCAGTAGTCGCGTTGTACATTTAGCACATTTTGTTGACATGCGGTTTGTTATACCGGAGCTGATACCGGCAATTCGTGGCTTTACGTCGTGCTTCCTTTCAGTTTTAGTCGCGAGTAAAGTATGTGGCTCGTACGCAAGTAGCGAGTTCAACAACGTTTATTGCACGCACCGTGAGCCCTTATATACAGTATGCCCTAGCGGCGCAGCTGCTGTGCCGATGACAAGGCTGACGATGACAAGGCTGATCTGGTATCAGCTAGTGACGCTGCGCTACATCTTCCCTCTTTCAAACAAAACAAAACAACCAAGAGAAAAACAATATACAAAAAATTAAGGAATAGAAAATAGTACGCTTGCAGGATCACGCTTAAAGTTCTGGTCTTGGGTATCTGACGGGGCTCCGCCGTTGTCTTGAACTCCTCCTGAGCTCCTGGGTCGGAGGGTCTTGTGATGGTGGGGCTCCCGTTGAGGGTTCTTCCCTCACCTGGCGGCCAGTGGATTCAGCAGCCGCAGTGGTGACAAGTTGCTGTTGCCGAGGCGGCAGCACGCGCAGGTGCTCTCTCGTTCTGCGTAGCACACGTCCGTCACCAGTTTCGATCACAAAGGAGCGCGGAGGCCCCGCACGCCTCATGACGACTGCCGGAGACCACGTGTGTGAAATGGTGTCAAATGCAGACACTTGCTGACCATCTTGTAGTTCTGGAAGGGCCTTTGTTCTGTTGTAGAAGGTCCGCTGCTTGCTGCGGATCTCTTGTAGTCGTTTGTGCACCTCTTTGGGCGGTACGATGGCTGGTTCCAGGCAGCAGTCGGGAACCGGAAGCAGTGTGCGTGTCTGACGACCCATTAGCCTCTGTACTGGTGACTTGAGCAGGTTATCCCTTGGGCTGTTGCGCCATTCCAGGAGGGCGCTGCAGAAGTCGAGGGTATCGTAGGAGCACCTCGTTAGCAGTTTCTTTGCCTCCTGTACGGCTCGTTCAGCCATTCCGTTGGAGCGAGGGTGGTGAGGGCTTGACGTGACGTGAATGATTCGAAACTTACTCACAAAGTCCTTGAAGTTGTAACTATTGAAGGGGGGCCCATTGTCACTGCACAACTTGGCTGGTATCCCATGAGTAGCGAAGACTTCTGCACAGGCGGATACCACTGAAGATGCCGTGGACTGTCGCAGTTCCTTGATCTCGAAAAAGAAAGAGTAGAAGTCAACAATTATCAAAAAAGTCCGATTGTTGTGGTAGAACAAGTCTAGCCCCACCAGCTGCCATGGTAGGTTGGGTAGTTCATGGCTCAGTAATGGTAATCTTGCGTTTCTGGGCTTATGCTTCGTGCAGACCCCACATGACTTTGCAAGAGCTTCAATGTCGCATGACATGGTCGGCCAATACATCACTTCTCGGGCGCGCATCTTCATTTTTGCTTCACCCCCGTGTGCGGCATGCAAAAGTTCCAAAATATCCGTCCTCTTGGCTTTTGGAATTACCACTTTGTTACTCCTGAAGACCAGCCCATCTTCCACGTGCATCTCGTCTCTGTAGTTCCAGTACGTTCGAAGTTCCTCCGGGACGTCTCGTTTCTCAGCTGGCCAGGATGCTGATGCATACTCTCGGAGCTGGATGAAAGCCGCGTCGTTTTCTGTCGCCTGGAGGATGTCGTGGAGCCGTGCATCTGAAACTGATAGCGTAGAAACAATGTTGACTTGAAACTGGTCGCTTTCGTCTTTTAGCATAGTTTTGGTTGGGAACCTTGACAACGCGTCCGCTAGAAAAAGTTCCTTCCCTGGCTTGTACTGCACGGTAATGGGGTATCGCTGAAGCACTAGCCTCATCCTTTGTAGGCGGAGCGGGCAGTCACAAAGGGGTTTCCTGAATATTGCTTCCAGTGGCTTATGATCCGACTCTACAGTCACAGATGAGTGCCCTAAAATATAATCTTTAAACTTGTTGCATCCGTGTACTATAGCGAGTGCCTCTTTTTCAATCTGAGCGTATTTTTGCTGAGTCTCGGTGAGGGAGCGTGATGAGTAGGCGATAGGATGTCCGTTCTGAATAATCACCGCCCCGACGCCGGTCTGGCTTGCGTCCACTGACAACGTGACTGGTTTACCTTGCTCAAAATACGCAAGTACCGGCGCCTTGATAAGCGACTCTCTGAGCGTTTTAAAACTGCTTTGTTGGCGCTCAGTCCAAACCCAAGCGATATCTTTTTTCAACAGCTCGCGTAATGGTGCTGAGAGGGCAGACATATTTGGTATGAATCTTGCGACAAAGTTCGTCATGCCAAGAAATATTTGTAATTCCTTACGGTCTCTGGGCTCCGGAACAGCAAGGATGTCCTCGACTCGTTCTGGGTCTAGGCTCAGACCTTCAGTCGTCAAAATGTGACCTAGGTACCGTACTTGGTCCTGCAGAAAATGACACTTTTTTAGGTTCAACTTGAGATCGTGTCTCTCGCAGCGTTCCAGTAAGTTTTTTAGGTTCGCGTCATGTTCTTGTATCGTGGTTCCCCAAACTAAAATGTCGTCCATGACGACTGCTACGTTCTTTAGGCCTTCTAGGACACCGTGCATTGCGCGCTGGAATACTTCTGGGGCTGTGGAAATTCCGAACGGCATGCGCAGAAACCTGTATCTGCCATAAGGGGTGCTCATGGTACAAATGTGCGAACTTGCCTCGGACAACTTTATTTGCCAAAAGCCCGATGACGCATCCAATGTCGAAAAAAACTTGGCGCCGTGCAGATGTGGAGCTACATCTTCTAGCGTCGGCATGGGATAATGTTCGCGTAATAGACGTTTGTTAAGATCAGATGGGTCTAAGCAAATTCTGACCTTATCTTTCTTTACGACGACCACCATGTGACTCGACCATTCTGTTGGTTCGTTTACCTTCGTGACGACTTGATCCGCTTCCATGCGGTCCAACTCTGCCTTGACTCTATCCTGGAGAGCCACAGGTATTCGTCTTGCTGCCTTGACGGTGCCCTTGGATCCTGGTTGTAGCTTCATATCGTAGACCACACCCTTCAGCTGGCCGAGCCCTTGAAAAACTGCTTCAAAAGGTCGTGCTGCACCGTATAGCTCTGCGGTGCTCACACCTGCAACGCGAGTAATCAGTCCGAGGCGTTCTGCTACACTGCCACTCAAGGTGACTGGAACCTCTTGGCGTACAACAAAAAACCCAGCGTGACATTTTTTGTCTTGATTGCGTATATCGAGGCAAATTCTTTCTGGTGCCTTTTCTGCATGACCGAAGAACGTGTTTAGGGTGACGTCGCACTTTACTGTTGGCTTCGTCGTAACTTGGCCTAGTGTGGCCCTGGAGATGACACAACAATTGGCTCCGGTATCTATTTTGCAATGAACGGGAACGCCTTCTAGTGTCACCGTAGCCGTCCATAGATCCTCGCGAGATACAGCACCGACAGTTAGTGCTTCCAAGAAGTATGTCTCGTCATCGCTAGCCACAACCTCGTGTACTTGCTGTACGGGGGCCCTTTTCCGCCCTGACTTGCAAACTTTAGCGAAGTGATTAAGGCTTCCGCACTTGTTGCATTTCTTTCCGGCTGCGGGGCAAACCTTAGTTCTGTGCTTCGTAAACCCACACTTTTGGCACGATGATCCGATTTCTTGAACTAAGTTGATTTCTTTTTCGCGTTCCTTTGCTCCGCTTTGTATTGTATTGCACCGTTCTTCGCCCTGTTCCCAGGCTCTGCATCTTTCCACCGCTTTGGTGTAGGACGGGTTGTCGGATATGAGCTTTTGCTGAAGTTTCTTGTCCCGAACGCCCAGAATGATTCTACTTCTAAGTAGACGTTCTTCAATATCCCTAAACTCGCAGTTGTTTGCCAAAATACGAATGTCAGTCAACCATTCGTTGAAAGGTTCCCCATCTTTCTGGTCCCTCGTACCAAACACAAACTCGTTGTAAGTTAGGTTTGAAGCCGGCTTGTAGAAGCTATCAAACTTCTCAATGATAGTCGTCACGTCTTGCCTTCCCTCTTGGTTTACAAACGTAAATGTACTGAACGATTTCCTTGCATCTTCCCCGATTATCATTAACAAGGTCGCCGCCTGGACTTCTTTCGGTTGATGGCTGAGCAGGGTGGCCGTAGAAAACAGTTGAAACTCACATTTCCAAGTTGTCCAGTTCCGCCACAGGTCTCCCGTCGTGTCCAGGGGTTTTGGGGGCTGCAGCAGCGTTGTACAGGGCAGCACGATGGCCTGCTGCGGAGACGCCATCGTCCGGGTGGTGTGGCTGTCGCCTACTTTCCGTCGCTCGGTGGCTGCTTCATTAATCCGCGGCGCTCGGGCGATAAAGCACTTCTGACACCATGTGGCTCGTACGCAAGTAGCGAGTTCAACAACGTTTATTGCACGCACCGTGAGCCCTTATATACAGTATGCCCTAGCGGCGCAGCTGCTGTGCCGATGACAAGGCTGACGATGACAAGGCTGATCTGGTATCAGCTAGTGACGCTGCGCTACAAAGTACTTTGTCCTTGGCCTTAAAGGAAGAAAACTTTATAACTACCGGGCGACATCTGTTCGGCTTAATGCAGCCGATGCAATGTGCGCGATCAATAAAATCTGGAGGAACCTGAAGCCCAAAGAAACGGGAAATGAACTCGCGAACTTTTGTTTCACTTACCTCGCATGTTTACGACGCAACATCGGGAAGACCATAAATAATCAGGTTATCACGTCTTGAACGATTTTTCAGGCCATTAAGACGCTCTTATTAATTAACGTTATCGTTCCGCAGAGCTTCAGTGACACCCTGCTTCTCATAAAAACTGTTGTCGGTTACTTCAAGCGCCGAAACCTTACTTTCAACAAGAACGAGTCGACCTCATATGTCGTTATGCTTTGCTTCAGTGGATTCTTGGTCTTTTTTCCTATTTCACGGTTTTTATTAAACTGGTCTGCCCCTCCCCTGATTTTATGGCACGAGCATTAAGGTAATTCAATAGCTTGCACACATCAGCTAGTTGTTTCGCATGGATTTCGGTCATGGGGCCGGGGTCAAGCTCTACGTCACCAGAGAGTAGTAACAGTGACCTCAAAACATCAAAACAAGAAACTAGTAAAGCACAAAATACACTTGGGCATGGAAACAGCAAAAGGCAATGGCTGTTAGTTTTCTTTGTCTACAATTACGGAACGGAACCAATCTCCACAAGAATGTCCACAGCATAAGAATGATAGATTCCTGAGCTGTTTCCATGCCTACTCAAGTGTCCGAGGGCGCTCCGCCGTTTTCAAGACAGGCCGCCAGTGAGCGACGATGTCGATGCGGAAACCTTCCCAAACGCAGTGAAGATACGCTGCGGCCAATCTGCGGGACCCGCCGACGAAGTTATCTGGAATGTCAATCAACAGTTGAACACGTGCTGATGGGGTGGCGATGACTGGTTGAAGTGGAAGTGACCAAGACCACAGGATGAACAGCGATGCCAAAATCTGCATAAGGATGCACACAGCATTAGAGCGATGCATTCCTAAGCGGTTCCCACTGTACTCAAAGGGGAGAATTATACTCAGAGTGGAGAACGAAAATAAAGATGATTTATATGGTTATTTAAATTACACCGGTTTACTATGGTGATCTAAATCAAACTTTTTCCCCAAAATACTTTTTATCTACTGTTTAATGCTTTCATGTTCTAAGCAAATCAGAATGTCGAATTTGGTTTCTACGTTCCACTTTGTTTGTCCGTTACGTAGTGCCCTTCTGCAAACAAATCAGAACGCAAAAGGAATAAACGTAAACATAAAAAGGAATGGAAAAGAAGGAATGTTTTATTGCGAACGAATCTGAAGGTGAAAGAAAAATTAAATGCATCTTATTCACTAACTAAAAAAAATTAAAGCCGTTTACAACTCCCTGTAACGCCGAATTAGAGCGCAGCTCTTGAGGAGGAGGAGGGAAGGGTACTGAGGTTCACGTGTTATCGGGGGGGGGGAGGGGTGGTCACGTGACCTTGGAGGGGTCACATGACCCCCTCGCCAAGGTCACCCCACGGTCCCCGGTGTCACCTTGACCACGGTGGTCACGTGACCTCTGTGGCCGGGTCGCCTGACCTGAAGAGAAATTTTTCCGCTAGATTTAGCGGGGAAATTTTTCCGCTAGATTTAGCGGGGAAATTTTTTCGCTAGATTTAGCGGGGAAATGTTTCCGCTAGATTTAGCGGGGAAATTTTTTCGCTAGATTTAGCGGGGAAATTTTTCCGCTAGATTTAGCGAGGAAATTTTTTCGCTAGATGTAGCGGGGAAAATATTCCGCTAGGTTTAGCGGGGAAATTTTTCCGCTAGATTTAGTGGGGAAATTTTTCTGCTAGATTTAGCGGGGAAATTTTTCCGCTAGATTTAGCGGGGAAATTTTTCCGCTAGATCTAGCGGGGAAATTTTCCCGCTAAATTTAGCGGGGAAATTTTTCTGCTAGATTTAGCGGGGAAATTTTTCCGCTAGATTTTGCAGGGAAATTTTTCCGCTAAATTTAGCGGGGAAATTTTTCCGCTAGATTTAGCGGGGAAATTTACCCATAATGCACCGCGCGGTTACGCCGACGGCGACGGCGACGGCAACGGCGACGCCGACGCCGCTCAAGCCGGAAACGGGCGCCTAAGAGCTGCGCTCTAAAAGATACGCTGCTTTTGCTCTAGTATGGCGGATTTACGTCAATAAAAGCATTGTTTATTAAATTTACTTTAGAAGTCTAAATGTGCAGGAATTCTTTCTTCCATACTCTTACAAGTGACCAAACGTATTAAATAATCCATTTGGCATCTTTGTAAAGATATGTATTGATAAATGTAATCACTTTTTTCTAGTTTTGTAATTTAAATAAAATATTTGTGACTTAAGTACAATACGTTTGACTAATTTTTGTTTTTTACCATGTTTTTTTTCTGTCTTGATAGTACTTGCACTCAGGAACCCTAGTCTATAATCATCCTGTGAATATCAAGACTGGATTAATTTACTAAATTTCACCACTTGTGGTATATAAAAGAAGAGGAATCTATACAACACGCAGCAGGTTTCTTTTTTTTTTCCGTGTGAAAAGGTTTTAGGAAAGAAACATTTGTTAAGGGGAAAATTTCTAGGAAGCATTCATATGCTTCGTACCGGCGTCGCAATTTTAGATGTTACAGCTTGCACCCACTTTCCGCCACTTTTTGCAAGTTCAAATATATTGTGGGGCATTACCAAAGTTCTTAAAAATTCTATATTTCGCAAGTTTTAATTGTCGGGCACCGACAAGTCGATCTCTCTCCGACCCGACCCCAACGGAGCGAGAAATAAATACACCCGAACCTGACCCGAGACCGATGAGGGTGCCGGTATATTGTCCCGAGCCCGACCCGGTATTGGAGAAGGGTTAGGGTTTTCGGGTTTGTCCGAGCCCGCGCTGATTTCTATCTTAAATCGGAGGATTCTTATGTACCGGGATGCCGCATAAAGAAGCTAGCCCCTTGAGCTTTGTCGACTGTGACAGATTGGTCTTCGAAGGACACAATGCCTGTACCCAGGAATGCCCAAAGAGAGCCCGACTTGAAGAGTCGGCATCTGCGCCGCAGAAAGCGTGAGGCTCTCCAAGAGGAT